CTTGGCTCCTCCCCTGGGCGCAGCATCTCCCCATGGATGATGGAATTTTCTCAGCCATGCAGGGACACTCAGTGGCCATGGACAGCAGAGATCTCCTGGAGGGAGGATTGGCTGTGGGAGAGAGAAAGAAAAGTGTCCAAAGAGCAGCAGAGCCCTGCCCCAGCTCTGACAGATGGGACAGAGCACACACCTCCAGCCTAAGACATTTCCTCAGCTCAAAAATTAGGGCTAATATTTCCAAGTATTTATAAAACAGGATTTTCTTGCACTGGTCTTCGTAACATAGAAGTGTTGTGTGGAATAAAATACAGAAGAGTTTATATTCAATTTAAATGGTTTTAAAGGGGATGTTTTAAAATACCCATTAAATTGGTAATAATGAGCTTGGAATACAATTCCTCCTTTAACCAATATTCCCTGGAGCAGTGCTCAGCTTTGAGCTGAGGATTTGATGAGTTTACATTGGAAAATTTCCCATCAGTGTGGCCTTATCAGAAGCACAGGAGGAATATTTTGGGAAGATCCATGACTTTGTGCAGCTGAATCTTCTCAAAGAGCTTCTGCATGGCTCACAATAAAATAAATCTTAAAAATAAATAAGGCAAATATAAAACAATAAAGCAGTGCCCATCTGAACCTCCTACAGTGTTCATTCCCTCATAAACAAACCAAAGAGTTTATTTGTTGCACCTGCAGCAGGTCATTTAATATTTCCTCAAAAAATTCACTTGATTTTGGTTGTGTCATGAATCTGCTGGGTTTAACAAAACTTCTGCTTCTCAGAGCAGTTTTCCCCCCTCAGCAGACACTGTATTTATTATGTTTATTCCATGCATGTGTGATAAATCCAATGCTGGCTCCAGGTTAGCTGGAATAGTCATAAATCTGATTTTTGAAGATCAGCTTTAGATTTACCATCGTGCCTTGTTCAGAGCTTGAATAGAACTGGAAGGATTTTGACTTTGTTTATGCAGCTGTGGAGGCCTTGGCTGACAGTTAAATGGCCACAATAAATTAGTCCTGAGGAGGAAGCAGATTTCAAACCTAGGAAAAAGCTGGTTGTCGCTGCAGCAAATCCAAAAATCCTAAAAATTCTTTGGAATCAAAGAATCTTAAAAATTACTCTGGATCAGAGGAAGATGGATCTGTCTGGGAACAAACTCAGGAAAGAAGTTAGAGTTAGCACCCGCAGAAATTGCTTGTGCTCCAGAGGCTCAGTGTGGGGCTTCCCATCTTCCCAAAATATTCTGGTCCTTGTAGCCTTGTCCCCTCTGTGGCTCGGTGATGCTGTAGGTCAGGTGTCACCTGGGATAGCTCTGATTTAGGGGGATTTGACTTTGAAATCCATGAAAATTCATTCTGTTTTTTCAGGTTTCTCTTTCATCGGTAGTGGAGGGCAGTGGGAAGGGGAGGTCTGGTTTCCTTTGTTACAAAATCAGTTCTGATGGGGAAAAGGAGACTCCAGGGAGAGCTCAGAGCCCCTGCAGGGCCTGGAGGGGCTCCAGGAGAGCTGGAGAGGGACTGGGGACAAGGATGGAGGGACAGGACACAGGGAATGGCTCCCACTGCCAGAGGGCAGGGCTGGGTGGGAGATTGGGAATTGGGAATTGTTCCCTGGAGGGTGGGCAGGGGCTGGGCTGGAATTCCCAGAGCAGCTGTGGCTGCCCCTGGATCCCTGGCAGTGCCCAAGGCCAGGCTGGACACTGGGAGCACCTGGGACAGTGGGAGGGGTCCCTGCCAGGGCAGGGTGGCACTGGATGATCTTTAAGGTCTCTTCCACCCCAAACCATTCCCTGATTTCCCTGTAGTCCCACAAGCAGGGATCCAGGATTCCAGGGATCCAGGGGCAGCCACAGTTGCTCTGGGAATTCCAGCCCAGCCCCTGCCCACCCTGCCAGGGAACAATTCCCAATTCCCAATCTCCCACCCAGCCCTGCCCTCTGGCAGTGGGAGCCATTCCCTGGGTCCTGTCCCTCCATCCTTGTCCCCAGCCCCTCTCCAGCTCTCCTGGAGCCCCTCCAGGCCCTGCAGGGGCTCTGAGCTCTCCCTGGAGCTTCTCCTCTCCAGGGAGCACCCCCAGCTCTCCAGCCTGGCTCCAGGGGAAGAAGGAGCAGTTTCTTTATAGATTTTGGTAAAATCCCACAAGTCTGGGATCTGACCAAGTCCTGGCACAGAGGGGCTGGAGGCACCCTTAGATTTCAGGCCTTTGGTGGGGTTCAGAATTGGGATTTAGGAAGCTTGTTCCCCACGGATCTCTGTGTTCCCAGGATGCTGTTGAGCATCCTGGGGAAGCCTCAGTCAGCATTCCCATCAGGAGAGACAGACAGGGGCAAAATTGGAGTCACTCTGAGTCCCCATGTGACTAGGACTTTGTCAGAAAACCTCTGACAGATTTTCTGTACTTACTGCTTTTAACCAAGAGCTAACAGGCTCAGTGCCAAAATCTCCCCTTTCCCACCAGGAACTATTTTCTCCTTCAGTCCCAACTCTTAACTTTGCTCCAGGTGTTGAAACGAAAACTGGGAATGGTGAGAATTTCAGATGTGTGGGAAGCATCAGTGCCCCATTGCTCAGCTTGTCCCTCCTTGGTTTCCTCTCCTGGGAAGTGCTTTACTCATCCTGTGGCAATCCTGCTCCTTCCAGGAGACAGGAATATCAGGAATATCACCTGGTGGCTTTTGGGAGTTGCTCAGTGTGGGAGCTGGGGTGAAGGAGGTGCTGGACACTCCATTGCAGGGCAGCACAAGGAGATCTCAGCTCTCCTTTTCCTTGGGAGGAAAAAGGGTCTTCCTCTTCCTTGGGAGAGGAGAGTTCTGGCACCAGCTCCAGAGAAATGTGCCCAGCTCAGAGATACAGAATCACAAAATATCCTGAGCTGGAAGTGAGCCACAGAGATCATAATTAATAATAATTAATTAGGCTGTTATTAGATACAGAATTCTCATCCAGTTTCCTGCATGGGTGCTTCCTCCAGCTGTCGATGGCCAAGGAGTGCAGCCTCCTCAGCTCTGTTTTTATGGAATACTTCCATTCCAGCCCAGCTGCCAGCAGCTGCTTGCCAGCCCTGCCAAGGTTTCCTTGGAGCTCTCCCGTCCGTGGCACAGATCCTGCAGCTCATTTCCCTGGGATTCCCCCTGCCCCACCTCAGCCCTGCAGGTCCCTGTGTGATCAGGACGTGTTCCCTGGAAGGACTTGGTTCCACCCAGGAAAATCCATGCAGGCTCCTCCTGCACCAGCAGAGGGATCCCAAGCCCTGCAGGAAAGGCAGAAATCAAATCCTCTGCCACTGTGCTGAGCCACATCCTGAAAAATTGCAGGCAGAGAAGCAGCACTGGAAAGTTTAAGTTTGTTCTGCTAAAGCTTCTCTTTGTGGGATGAAGCATCACCTGTCCCCATATTCCTGGTTTTGGGTCACACAGCATCTCTGTTAATGTGGCTGCAGAAATCTTGACCATTTGTGGAAGCACAAGGCTTTAAAATCTTTCCTGGTTTTAATTCATTGGTATTACCTGTGTTTAATAGTGATTTGTGGGTTTATATCCACATTTTCTATACTTTTATATTGATCCCCTACCCCTCAGCACACTTCTTTTAACTCAGTCCTTGCCAGGGCATCAGGAGGGGTGGGAAAACGCATAAGATGGAGGCAAAGGCAGTGTGGAAATAGCAAAAAAGCTAAAATTTGGGAGTGTTGGGATTGCCCCTGGTCTGGTTCAGACATTCTGGGCACAGAAGGAGGATCAGAAGTTGTTCCACTCTGTCAGAAAGCCACAGTCACAGATTTGATGTCATTGAATAGAGTCAGAATCACAGAATAACCTGATTTAGAAGGGATCATCAGAGTCCTTGCTGGAGGCTGTAGCTGTTCCTGCCCTAATCCAGCAGTGCCACAGATGCTTGGACACATCCCCATCTAATTCCTTGGTGGGCAGCTGCAGAGGATCAGAAACAGGACATCACACCACAATCAATATGATCAAGTGAAGCCAATTTATTGCAGAAACTAAACTATATTTATACTGTGTTCTATTGTTCACACACCTCAAGCTAATACACGATTGGCTAACTTCTTCTGTGCACACATTTTAAACTTTTGGTTAATTTAGGCTTTTTTTCTTCTTCATGCATCTTGCTGCAGTTTTCTTGTCTGCCTTTACACCCTAAACTATCTGGAGTTGAGTGTGTTCTTCTCCTTTTGTCCTTCAAGGGCATTGTGACCTTCTACTCAGTCTCCATGAAGGCTGGATTGTGCATATGTTGCACATGTCCATTGTCCTGCAAAAAATTCAACAAGCAGCTCACTCAGCTTAGTCAGGAATCACAAAATGGGATCATTGAGGTGGGAGAAGCCCTTTGGGGTCATTGGGTCCCACCTGTGAGTGATTAACTCGGCCCAGCTGAGTGCCGTGCCCAGGAATTCCTTTGACATCTCCAGGGATAGGGAATCCAAAGGTCCTTGGCCAGTTCCAGGGCCAGAACACCCTTCCAGTTAGTAAATCCTGCCTAGAAATTCTTCTTAGAAATCCCACCTCAAAATCCTGCTTAGCTGAATGTCAGACCTCCCCATGTTGGAAAAGAACTCGGGGATCTGGTGTAACATCCCTGTGTCCCAATGAGGCCCATCCATGCTTTGTTCCCTTGTCCCCATGAGGCTCATCCATGTTCCATTCCCTTATCCCTTTTCATACCCCATTCCCTTATTCCATCCATGTCCCGTTCCCTTATCCCATCCGTGTCCCATTCCCTCATCCCATCCGTGTCCATTCCCTCATCCCATCCGTGTCCATTCCCTCATCCCATCCGTGTCCGTTCCCTCATCCCGTTCGTGTCCATTCCCTCATCCCATCCATGTCCCATTCCCTCATCCCATCCGTGTCCATTCCCTCATCCCATCCGTGTCCGTTCCCTCATCCCGTTCGTGTCCCATTCCCTCATCCCCATCCATGTCCCATTCCCTCATCCCGTCCGTGTCCGTTCCCTCATCCCGTCCGTGTCTGTTCCCTCATCCCATCCATGTCCCATTCCCTCATCCCCATCCGTGTCCATTCCCTCATCTCCATCCATGTCCCATTCCCTCATCCCGTCCGTGTCCTGTTCCCTTATCCCATCCGTGTCCATTCCCTCATCCCGTCCGTGTCCATTCCCTTATCCCATCCATGTCCCGTTCCCTCATCCCGTCCATGTCCCGTTCCCTCATCCCGTCCATGTCCCGTTCCCTCATCCTGTCCGTGTCCATTCCCTCATCCCCATCCATGTCCTGTTCCCTCATCCCGTCCGTGTCCGTTCCCTCATCCCCATCCATGTCCCGTTCCCTCATCCCCATCCATGTCCCGTTCCCTCATCCCGTCCGTGTCCATTCCCTCATCTCCATCCATGTCCCATTCCCTCATCCCGTCCATGTCCTGTTCCCTCATCCCGTCCGTGTCCATTCCCTCATCCCGTCCATGTCCCATTCCCTCATCCCGTTTGTGTCCATTCCCTCATCCCATCCATGTCCCGTTCCCTCATCCCGTCCGTGTCCCATTCCCTCATCCCATCCATGTCCATTCCCTCATCCCATCCGTGTCCGTTCCCTCATCCCGTCCATGTCCCATTCCCTCATCCCGTCCGTGTCCATTCCCTCATCCCGTCCGTGTCCGTCCCTCGCAGGGGGGCTGACGAACGGCAGCGGCCGCTACATCTCGGCGGCGCCGGGGGCGGAGGCCAAGTACCGCAGTGCCAGCAGCGCCTCCAGCCTGTTCAGCCCCAGCAGCACGCTGTTCCCGTCGTCCCGCCTGCGCTACGGCATGTCCGACGTGATGCCCTCGGGCCGCAGCCGCCTGCTCGAGGACTTCCGCAACAACCGCTACCCCAACCTGCAGCTGCGCGAGATCGCGGGCCACATCATGGAGTTCTCCCAGGATCAGCACGGATCCAGGTGGGCTGGGCAGCCTGGCCACGGCTGCTCCTTGGGGAGCATCGCTTGTGCTTTCCAGTTGGGTTTTCCAGTTGGGTTTTCCAGTTGGGTTTTCCAGTTGGGTTTTGTTGGTTCCGTTCCGTGGTTGAGTTTTGTGGTTGTGTTTTGTAGTTCTGTTTCCCAGTTGTGTTTTGTTGGTTCCATTTCTCGGTTCTGTTTCACGGTTGGGTTTTGCGGTTGACTTTTGTTGGTTCCATTTTGCAGTTCTGTTTCGAGGTTGAGTTTGGCAGTTATGTTTTGTGATTCTGCTTTGTGGTTCTGTTCCACAGTTGTGCTGTGCGGTTGTGTTTTGTTGGTTCTGTTTTGCGGTTCTGTTTCGCGATTGAGTTTCACGGTTGCGTTTTGTGGCTTGTTTTCAAAGTTGTGTTTTGCGGTTGTGTTTTGTGGTTCTGTTTCACAGTTGTGTTTTGCAGTTGTGTTTTCTTGGTTCCATTTTGTAGTTGCGTTTCGTGTCTGCATGTCATGTTTGAGTTTTGCTGTTGCGTTCTGTGGTTGTGTTTTGTCTCTCTTCCCAAAGCTGAGGCGGACCAGGGAATAAGCAGGAAAAGCTAAGCCAGTGTCACACTCAGAATCCCCAAGAATTGTCCAGTCCAGTTCCTGGCCCTGCCCAGACACCCCAACAGTCCCACCCTTGGCATGCCTCAGAGTGTTGTCCAGGGTTGTGGACACGTGCAGGAATTCCTCCTCAAATTTAGCCTGGAGAAAAGGAGACTCAGGGTGACCTCAGCGCTCTCTGCAGCTCCTGAAAGGTGCCTGTGCCCAGCTGGGCTGGGCTCTTTCTCCAGGAGCTGACAGAACCAGAGGACACAGCCTCAGCTGCCCCAGGGAAATCCAGGCTGGGTGTCAGGAGAAAGTTTTTCATGGCAAGAGTGACAAAGTTCTGGAATGGCTGCCCGGGGAGGTGGTGCAGTCACCATCCCTGGGTGTGTTTGAAACAAGCCTGGATGTGGCACTGGGTGCCAGGGTTGAGTTGAGGGGCTGGGGCTGGGCTGGACTCGATGGTCTGGAAGGTCTCTTCCAGCCCAGTGGTTGACACTGTTGAGGCTGGACGGGAATGAGGAGACTTTGAGTCAGAAGGAGAGAGAGGAGAACTCTGATTTATTTCAAAATACATCTCTTCTATACAGAGCTTCGTGCAGACCAATTCCATTGGTCCTGAAGTGAAAATATCTCACACACTGGTGTGCAGTGAATGATATACAGTAGCAAAACCTAACTATAAACAATGTGAACAACAAGAGAGATAAAGAATTATTTACCTTCTTCTCAACAATTTCTCAGGCTTCTGCCTGGTTAGAAACTTTCCATTTCTCTCTGAGAATACCCACAAGTGGTTCTGTGAATTCTGTGAAAAGGAGCTTCCCTGCTTCCCTGCTCACTCATCCCACTGGCACAGCTTAATTCTGTTTAAAACCCAGCTGGACACGAGGCCATCCTCTGTTACTCCATTGAGATCTGCTTTGCTTGGAATGAGGATTCCAACATGTGGCCATGGACCTCATGGCCGTGACCACCCTGAGCTTTCAGATGGCTGGATAAAGTGTGTTTGAAGAGCTTTGCAAGTTGTGGATGACTAAAATGTCTAAAATTTGAATATTTAACTTGTGATAGGAAGCTTAGGTTAATGAAAGTGCTTAATCTTCATGCCATAATAGGATTTATCATGGTCATTTCTGGAACGCAGGGGTGAGGCTTTGGGAAGGGGTTGAATGAGCAGATGTGCCCGTGGCATCACTCCAAGGCCTGTTTTTCAGATTTATTCAGCTGAAACTGGAGCGTGCCACCCCAGCAGAGCGTCAGCTGGTGTTCAACGAGATCCTGCAGGCAGCCTATCAGCTCATGGTGGATGTGTTTGGGAACTACGTCATTCAGAAGTTCTTTGAGGTGAGTCTGCCCTCCCTGCAGCTCATCCTGGGGTTTGTGCTGTGCTGAGGATGAGCCTGGAAAACCCTGCCTTGAGGCTAAACCCCTGCCTAACCTTCAGCACTGACACCATCTCCTCCCCGCAAGCTGTTGGATCTTTCCTGCTGGGGTGACTGAGGGGTGGGACTTGGATTCATCCCAAAAGTAACACTTTGAGAAGCAAAATGTGTCTCGATAAACAGCAGCGTTTGCAGGAGAGGTAAATTTCCAGTGGGAAGTGGGTGGGGGTTGGAATGAACTGAGCCTTAAGGTCCCTTCCAGCCCAGGCCACTCTGGAATTCTGTGAGGTGCAGATCCAGCAAAGCTTGTCAGTGCTCCGGGACTTGGGAGCAAGGGAGAAACTCCTCCAGTAACAGCAGCTGCTGGGAGTGTGTTGTGTCCCTCCATCCCTCTCTCTGGTCCTTCACCAGGAGTTCCTGGTGCTTCTGCCCAGTAATTGAGAATCAGAATCACAGAACCTCCTGAGCTGGAAGGGACCCCCAAGGCTCAAATCCAGCTCCTGGGCCTGCCCACACACCCCAGCATTCCCCCCCTGTGCGTGCCTGAGACGTTGTCCCAGCACTTCTGGAGCTCTGGCAGCCCCGGGGCTGTGACTGGCCAGGGTTGGTTGCTCACCCTGGTGGCTCCAGCCCCTTTGGGCTGTGCAGGCAGGCACAGGACACATCTGGCTGTGCCAGTTCACCCTGTTCCCATGGGGCTGATCTGTCATCCTTCTCAGCGGGTGGGAGGGCAGTGCCCGTGGCCAGGACGGGGTTTGTCCTTGCAGTGACTGTTTCTCCTGTCCCAGTTTGGCAGCCTGGAGCAGAAGCTGGCGCTGGCAGAGCGCATCCGTGGGCACGTGCTGTCGCTGGCCCTGCAGATGTACGGCTGCAGGGTGATCCAGAAGGCCCTGGAGTTCATCCCCCCAGACCAGCAGGTAATTGTAAGTTTCAATTTTAACTTTCTTCTTGATGTTTGATGTTCCTGAGTTGTCCCTTCCCGTCCCTCTTGTGCCTGGTGTTCCCTTGGTTTGGTTCCTTGTGGTGTTCCTTGTGCGTGACGAGTCCGTGCCACCATCCTTGGTTGTTATTGTCACTTCCTTGTTCCCCTTCCCTGGCCATGGGGCTGCTTCTCTGTTAATTCCCCGGAAGCAGATCATGTGTGTAGGGAAAACTGAAAATGAGGGTGAATTAAAAGAGATTTTTAAATCCCTTGAAGGAAGAGTTTTGCCTTTAATATTCACTGAGTTACTGCTATGTGGGTCAGCATCCTGTGCTCCTGCAGGGAGATTGATGAGGAGCTCCTCGTTCTGGCTTCAGAGAGATGTGGCTGAGAGCCCCACTCAGAGCTCATTAATGAAGCAATTCCTCAAGGGTATTGGCAACAATGAATTGAGATGAAAAATATGCTGGGCAGGCTGGCTTGGGAAGGGTTGGGAATGGTTGTAACAGAAATCTCAATGTAGGTTATGAAATTAAAAATGTGAAAGAGGCTTTAGGAGTGGTCCTTCCCTTTAGGCTGAGCCTGAGCCAAGTGTGTCAGCAGGGCCTTGCCCAGGCTCCAGCACTGCTGCTCCAAGGATTTATTGTCTTCTCCAGAGTGGCATTTTTGAGTACTCAGTGCTCCCAAAATTCCTGGGTTTGATTCAGTATAAAACTGAATTCACCCCGATCTTGTCAAAGCATTAAAATGCCCCAAAGTGTCATTTCTGTTTGTGAGTGATGCTTCCACCCTGCACCTGGGGTACATCAATCATGTCTAAACTTCATTAATTCCTTAATTATCTGTGTAAAATCCCAGCAAGTTCTGAGCTCAGAGCTGACCCTGTTTCAGTGATAGGTGACCCTGCTAACCCAAAGAGTTGGTGAACTTTGTGCATTTTAGATTTGCTTCTCTTGAGGGGGAGCAGGGAGGAAAATGAGGGATGCACAGGAAAGCTGTGGCTTATTTAGGAGATCTTTAATTTGGATTCTTGGAAGAGGATGCTCATCAAGAAGGAGGGCTTCATCTTCCTAGAATGCCAGGATGGTTTGGGTTGGAATGGAGCTCCAAGCTCCTGTTCCAGGGCCCCTCCCAGCAGGCCAGGCTGCGAACGGGATGCGAGAGAGGATTTTCCCTGCTGGTTTCTGTGTCCAGCCAGGCCTCCTCTCCTGGCCATGGGAGCACCCCGACCCCTGTGCCATTGCTGCCCATCCCCAGCTGTGCTCCCGGAGCTGGGGATGCTGGTGGTGCTTTCTGTTTGTGCTCTGTCCTCCGTAGAACGAGATGGTTCGGGAGCTGGACGGGCACGTGCTCAAGTGCGTCAAGGACCAGAACGGGAACCACGTGGTGCAGAAGTGCATCGAGTGTGTGCAGCCTCAGTCCCTGCAGTTCATCATCGATGCCTTCAAGGGACAGGTGAGGCCCTGCCCGGCTCCTGCTGCCTGCTTGGAACAGCCTCAGGGTGGCTGGGACTTCAACTCTTGGGAATTCTCAGTTTTAGCAAACTTACAAGGTTGATGCAGCCATGTGAGAGTCCAGAAACTCCTTGGTCACATCTGTGTGCCCATCATTTCTGGGCAGAGCTGTCAGAGTAAAACCTCCTTGCATGAGTCTGTTGCCCTGGAATATTGAATACTTTTGAGTGATGAGGGGAAAACAAGGCTCTCCCTAATCCATCTTCCCAGTGAAGGTGATGAGCAGAGTTTTCTGCTGCTGAGGTACCTTAGTTATGTCTAAACTTAATTAATTCCTTAATTATCACCTCACTTATGTAAAATCCCAGCAAGTTCCGAGCCCAGAGCTGATCCCCTTTTAGTGACGGGTGACCCTCATAACCCAAAGAATTGGTGAACTTTGTGCATTTCAGATTTGTTTCTCTTTGAAGGGAGCAAAGAGGAAAACGGGGGATGCACAGGAGAGCAAACTTTAATTTTGATCCCTGTCTGTGTAGGTGGCTTAGAGGAATGCTGAATGCTGATTCCCAGGGGGCTCAGAGCAGGGGAGAAGCAGGAGTGTCATCTAGAAATGGGCAATCGTCCTTGACTCTCTTAGATTTTTGCTTTTTTATTGGTGTCTTCTCCTGAATTGATGTCCTGGGTATCAGTTGTGGCTGGCTTTACTCTACCTGCCTCAGGTCCCAGTACAAAAGTGCTGCTTTTTGGATGTTCCAACCTCAGTTTCCTTGGCTTTGCAGGGGCACTTGGAAGTTTTTAGGATTTGCCCCGGGCATGTGAGGACAGCCAGGGGCTATTACAGCAGGAACCAGGAGCTGGGAGTCTGGGCAAAGTGGAGATTTGGTTGGTTGGGTCAAAACAAGCAGGATTCTGCCTGGAAACTTGATTCTGACTAGAGTTGAGGTTTGAAATTTGCACTGGGAGTTTGGAAAGCAGAAACTTCTCTGGGAGCTCAGCTGATGGCACTGACATTTCCTTGACCAGTTGTCCCAGTTTTATCTGAACCTTCACACAGCAGATTAAACTTAACACCTCCAGATGATTTCTCTGCAGTTAATTGCACTCCAAGCCCTGTTTCTCTGCAGGGTTTACTCACCAGTTATTAAATATGTGTGACTGTTGATTTAAACTTCAGTGCTTGGATTTGCTGCTGTTGTTAAATCAAAGCAACCAAACAGGACTTTGTGCTTCAGACAGAAAACGGAGCAGCAATAACAAAATGTGTCATGTTCTCACCCACAGATCTGCTAATCCATTAGAAATGAGAAAGATTCTTTGTTGTCACTTCTCCTAAGCACTCTTAAGGCTTTTAAACAAATCCAAACAGTTGAGGAAAATCCTTTGCTGGGCAGTTTTAACTGTTCTGGCTCATAGCATTTCTTAAATAGCTCAAAATTCATTCTGGCAAACAATGTGCTGGAATTATTTGGAAATAATAACCAAGCTTCCATCAATGCTTGGTTGTTCCAGGTTTTTTTGGGGTTTTTTTATGAATCAAGAGGTTTTACCATTTGTTTTTCATGGGTGGGGAAGCTGAGACTTCTCCAGGCAGGGCTGGGATGTGCCTGGGATCCCAGTGGATGTTTCCAGTTGCAGCTGGTGCTGCCTGGAGCTGGCGTTCCCGGGCAGGTTTCTGGGATTCCCAGGGACTAATGGCATCTTGCTGCCTGTCCTTTGTCCCCAGGTGTTTGCTTTGTCCACGCACCCCTACGGCTGCCGGGTGATCCAGAGGATCCTGGAGCACTGTCTGCCCGAGCAGACCCTGCCCATCCTGGAGGAGCTCCACCAGCACACGGAGCAGCTGGTGCAGGTCAGTGTGCCAGGGCCTGCAGTGTCCCCAGGTCAGTGCAGAGTGCTGGGACAGCTCCTGCAGGGAGCATCCCCACTGGAAAAGGGATGGGAATGAGCACAGCAGGCAGGAATTCTGTCAGCACCACCTGCTTTGGCCACGGGCACAAGTCCAGGAGGTGCCAGGGGTGTTGTCACCTCTCGTGAGGAGGCTCCGTGTCCTGGTGCTTCTCTCCCGTGCAGGGAAGAGCAGGAGGGGTGCCAGGAGCTGATCACTCCAAGGAAAAGGAGGTGCCAGGTCATTGGAATTCTTACAAAGAGTTGGTTCTGTGCTCACCCGCCTTCCTGGCTGACTTTCCTCCTCCCTGCAGTCCCTGGGAGAACCTGGTGTGCCAGGGTTTCACATGGGTTCTGCTCTTGGGGCCTGTGGATAAAGCAGCAAACC